ATATTGTGTATTGTTTTATTTATATTTATTTGTATTTAAATGTTTGTAGTACTTTTAGTTAATTAAAAAGTTATTAAAGTTACTAAGTTGATGAAACTGAAGTTTTTTGTGTTTTTTTACCTGTTTCTCTTGTAAAATTACAATATCGTGATAATACCGTATACCGTGATAAAAGCTCAATCAATTAATCGCAGCATGAAAATGTGATACCGGCACATACCTAGTGCATATGTTTGTTTGTTTGTGTGTGTGAGTGTGTGTATGAGTGTGCAGGTTAACATGGAATGATTCCCAATGACTGTGCGAGGCCACAACCACGCTGCCCCGAGGCCCCAGACGGCCAGGAGAGCCCCGAGCGACCAAGGCCCCAAGCCACCCCACAGCGGCCAGGTACCCGGGCCCCCAAGGAGGCAGAGGGGGGAGGCACTGGGCGCCCCACCACCGGCGAGCATTCCCCCCTGGGGGCTGCCCGCACAGGCACGGATAGAGCCCGGAGCCCGGTCCACCCACGCACCCCACGGGGGTCCCGCCAGCCTTGGGAAGACCTGCACCACACGAAGAACCCACACCTGGGGGACCAGGGGGGCACCCTGAGAGTCACCAGGCCCGACCCTCCCCCAAATCCCCTCACTACCACCCCCACACTACCCCATCATCCACGTGCCCCCCTGTTCCAGGACAAACATGCAGACACACAGATCCATGCATGCACTCATACACACACTCAGACACACACTCCCAGTCACACCTGCTCGTCTTTGAGGTCCGGCCGCAGATGCCCTGGACTTGCCCAGTGGACAGCCCAGAGGATGTTCCCCACCCCCCCAGATCGCAGGCGAGCGGGCACCCCGCCGGAGACCGACAGCACCCCACAGATGGATATGCTGTAGTGATAGGGCATCACCATATCATAGGTGATCACCATAGAATAGGTGATAGGGCAGCGGGCATCAGGCACGACACGCCCGGGGGCGCCACCGTCCTCCGCCACAGCACCCCCGCCCCGACCCGAGGGGGGGTATCCGGAGCCTCATCTGCGCAGGCCTCGCTGATGAGCCGCTCTCACACAGACACCCACATTCACCAGACAGACTGACCTGGGACCTGTACCTTCTGTGCCCTGCCTCGGTGCCAACCCCCCAGATGCCAGCATGCCCAGGGGCTCCCAGAGCGACACCCTAGCCAGTCCCACATGGGAAGGGGCGCCCAGGAGGACACAGGCCCCCCCGGCACGGACGAGGCCCCCACCCCAGCAGCGGGCCGCCCAGAACCCCGAATCCCACCCTGCACCCGCGAGGCCCTGGCCACTCAGCCAGGGCTGGCGCCCCCCCACCCAGGCTGCCAGGCCCCCCCGCACCCACCGGTTAGATGCCCCCAGACTCCCCACCCCGGCAACCCGGGGCCG